GTCTCACGTGAACCCAACCCATATATATATAGATTGGTCGTACGAGTCTCACGAAAAACCTTTGGTCTCACGTGAACCCAACCCATATATATATATATACAGACACACACATACACATATATACATGAGGCCTTCTTTGAGTACTCATTAAATTGTGATAGCCTTAAGAACTTGTGCATCATGTGTGATTTAATTCATATGACCTTTTTCCATATAAGACTAGGATTTAAAATATTGATCAACATATATACTTGTTTCATAATGTTTTTGTTCACATGTATTCAGTTCACAATATGAACATTTTTTACGTGTAACATGTAAAAAAGTTTTACATTGTGAACCGAATACATATAAAACAAACGCATTATCAAAAAACTATATGTTAATCAATACATTAAATACTATATTTAGACGGAGAAAGTAATGTGAAACAAAATTATCAATCATAAGCTAGCTTATCTGCTAATTTGTCAAGCATAGCCTTAAAAATACAGTTAAAAACCCCTTTTTTTCTAAAAAAATTGAATCTTGTCCGAATATATTCGTATTTCATATTCAAGTCTAAAGGATTTTGAACTTGTTCACTTGTATTTTTGGGGCGTAATTTATTATTTAACAAGTCTATTGGTGATTTTGAATAACTTGTCAGATGTAACGTCTACTAATGAGCTTTTTAGAGTTCTTTTTATTTCCTTATTAAAATATTATGTCAAAAGTTTTATATTGTAACCATTTGTTCACATCTTAATTCTTAAAAAAGAAATCCAACTCTTGCAATTAGGGGTGCTAAAAAAATCTGACAAATCCGATGAATCCAACGCAAAATAACTTAATTCAAAGCAACACGTAATCTAATCGAGTTGTAAAATCTTGAAAGAAGATCTCAACCTTCACAGCAAAAACACTGTGAAAGTTACTTTCATATTGTTTTACTGTGAAATTTCAAGTATAAAAAGATGGTCTTACGAAAACAGACTGGTCTCACATGATTTTAACACACACACACACACACTCTCTCTCTCTCTCTCTCTCTATATATATATATATATGCAACTGGAGAAAATTAATTGATTGTAATATATTTAAGATTTAAAAAGTATGGATAAGTTGTATCAAATAGTTGATGATAAAAAAATATATTATAAATAAACAAGAGAAAACAATATGTATTAGGGTTTTAACTTCTTGAAAGCGGGAAAAACATTTATGTTCTTTTATGAAAATAGTTTTGTTCCTAACTTGATATCGATTGGATATCATTCTCATTTTCGATAGCCTAAATGAACCTATGCACTTTCGGGAATCTCAACCTCTTTTTGCACGCATCTTTTGGCATATACATACATATACATATACATATACATATACAGTTTATTTTATAATATATTTTATTTGTACAATCAATGCAACATCAACTTAACTATCAATTAGTTCATCTACGGTCAACATCTGATGAGGTGGAAAAGGTAGTTACAGATTATCAAATAATAAATTAAGAATATATAAATGAAATGGACGATTTAGATCAAAGGTATATTGGTTGTACAAATAAGATTGGTTGTATATGAAACATGCTTTATATACAAATCAAATGAGACCTACAAAAAGGTTGAAAATTTTGAAAATAAATCTCGGCCGAATCTCTCTAATCTAACAAACTTACTTAATGTTCCATTTGTAATTAAAGAAGAACATGATGATAATTTGTTATTTTCTTATTATTTTTCATTAAGGGGCCGTTTACTAAACGCTTACTTGGTAAGTGCTTAACGTATAAATTTCCACATCGGATGAATATGAGAAGGGGCCAAGAATTTTAGCGGGTAAGAGGGATGAGAAGGATGGAGAGTCTTACCTGGTAAGTGAGGATGACGAATTTTACCCAGGTAAGCGCTTACCTAGTAAATTGTTGCATTCGATATGCTTTGATGTACTAAAATTTTACGCATTTAAATAAATTATAGTGTTGACTCCTATTGGTAAGCGCTTACGAGGTAAGCATTTGGGTAAACGACCCCTAACTCTTTTTATAGATATCAAAATTTAGAATCAATTATTATTTTATTTTATTAAATCAATCTTACGCGATGTAATTTATATGTAATAATAAGATATTTTAATTTTCATTAATTTTTTTATATTTCATTAGTTTATTGTATTATTWAYTTAWYTTTCAYTCRTTTAYTTTCTCAYATATACATTATTTAATGGTAACRTATAGAAAAACATACATTTTTATRWAATATATTTRACTAYTTTAAATAATAAAAACATCACATGGGAAAACAAAATATAGTAATATAAAGAAATTTTAATTAAATCATCACCTGGAAACATCAGTGTTTTATTTCACGTAATGAAATGATACAATGTCGCTAAAGTAAAACAAATTTAGTGTTGTTTGACATTGTGAAATGTGATGCTAAAAAGTAACATTAAAACAAATCATATTGTGAAACAACATAATATCCCTAATATAAAACAATAAACTGTTGTTTCAACTTGTGAAACAATGTAGTGTTATTTCAAATTTTGAAAACAAAACAAAAGTTACGTGAAATGTGATGTTAAACACTACAATGTTGTTCATATTGTGAAAGAACACAATGTTGTTGATGTGAAATAATGTAGTGTTGTTTCACATGATGAAATAATGCGATGTTGTTTAAAACGGAAGGGAGGAGATGGTGAGAAGATGATTATCTTCCAAAAACAAAATATTATTATCTTCTAAAAATACACTCCATTTTAATACCATTTAATTTGTTTTATAATTTCATTAGATTGTAATCTTACATTTAACCACAACTGTTAATAAAAAAATGAAAGACTAAGGAACTGTTTATCAAATGCTTACTTAAGTAAGTGTTTATCAAGTTATATTACCTTACCGAATAAATATGGCAAAAACCAAAAATCTTACTGAATAAGAACGAGACAAGGACTGAGAGTCTTACCCGATAAAGTGAGGGCAATGTCTCTTATCACAGTCAGTTTTTATCGGATAAATTGTTGTATAGAAAACCCTTTTTGTTGACTAAAATCCTACCCGGTAAATAAATAATATATTGAATTTTGCCGAAAATTGTTTACTGAGTAAGTATTTGATAAACGGCCTTTAAAATTAATAGTAATACTATTCACTTCGTTAACAAATCACCATTCCTCTATATAAATATTACTACATAAATTTTTGAATCTTTTGGAACACAATTTGGCGGCTCGCAATCAATCATGATAATCTTAAAAAGGAAGGCCGTCTTAACCATGAAGGCTCAAAAACCGGTTAACAATTCGGATGGAACCATTACATTTTCACCGTTTAAGAGGGACCAGTTAAGGATTGGTAATTTTAAATAATTGATCAAGGGACAAATCATTAAAAGACCGAATTAAGGTTAACCCGATATAACCAGTTTTTTAAAACGGCACATGGCGCTCACTCATTGGTCCACAGACAAGTTAAAGGCTTTGAAGAATGTTTATACCAGTGCATACATACACATCTTCGGGCTAAAAACGTTTAAAGGACCAGTTACGCTGTAAACAGCTATATTAAGAAACAAGATGTAACCGGTTTTTGCCCATTAGAAACAAGAAGTTACTAAGATTCTACAAACCATCAGCCTGAACAACTTGGTATTTTTCTCTAAAATCTTTCATCTTACAAACCAAGTTTTCTTGACATTTTCAACGGAAATGACAGATTATTCTATAAACGGGTCACATTCTTCTCAACACCGTCAGGTAAAATGACCCACACCACAATCACGATCTGACATTCTTCTCAAACTAAATCATATAAACCGAACTACTCGCAAAACGAGCAAGTTAATATTTTGTGCTACAGAAGAAAACCTCCAACTACTTGAATATGCAAAATAGAAGGCAGCCATGTACGAGAATTTATTCTCAAGGAACTTGGGGAATCCAAAAATGGTCATGGCAGGCAGGCAGGCAGGCAAGATATGAATGAGATGGTCCAATCCAATCCCACTAACTAAATGCTTTGGTTGGTATATTATATGATAATAGTAAAACAAAAAAACATTTATCATAAAAGTCGAAGTAGTAAACCATTTTCAATAGATTTAGGCCATCTGCATCTTCTCATGTATCAGCGTCGCCACAAACGCCCGTGTTGCTTCTGCTCCTGCATTCTCCTGTTCAATCAAATACATTATTATTATGTCAACTTATCACTGTTTAAAGGGGGAAAACCTACAAAACTTATTCTGCAAAACTAACCTCTTCGTCCCAAAATAGATGTCCAAAATTTAAAAGGCACACAGTTTTTAGGAATCAGTAATTACTACACTTGTTGATTAACTAAATGACGATCTTGCCCTTGATGATAGAGGGAGTAATGAACTTCTCCATCTCATAATACCATGGGTAGAATTTTCAAGTAGGCTTTTAGTTCTGTAAGTAAACACTTATTTTGAACAACTAAATCCATAAGACAACCTTAACAAATGGGTCCATGATCACTAAGATGAGGTGTTTGAAACACCAGACCAAACTACTTTTTCATGATCTAAGTTTCCAAAATGATGCAGTTTGGTCATCATACCAATGATATATAGTTGGTTCAGCTGGACAGGCCGAGTCAAAAGATTGTAGGATACACACATAAGGTACATAGCATTTCCTTCCATGTCATATAAACCTTGTCACATCTTTGTTACTTTTCTCGTCATAAGCAAATGCAATTCAATCTTGGTGAGAAATTATTGATAAAATCCATCCACTCAAATGTCACAACACTTGAGAAGAAATTATTGAAGAAATCCATCCACTCAAATATCACGCCACTTGAGAATATCTATTCGCCCAAGTAAAAGAGCACACCAGCTACAGTTCTGATAACAGAGTAAAGGGCTAAACAACCAAACCAAATGCACACGGTAAATACCAATAAATTACTATGTGACCAATAGCCATAATACACTACTTTCCCTTCCCCTTTCTCTCTCCCCACTCATCATTTCTGAAAGACCCATCACCAATCCACTTATCCCTCCCATTCAGAAAATAGAGGAGTTAAACCTAAAGCATCATCATCTACCGAAATGTTATGTGTTATCATCGTCTATGCCTTAATAAGGGATTGTAAATTGTAATTGACCAAAGAACCTCTAAGATTTTACTTTACCCTTATGTTTCCTTGGTTAAATTTCCATATCAATTCTTGACGGCCTTTGACTTTAAATCATACATTTTTGACCTATGTATGTAATGGGAAAAACATTCATCCAAAAAATACAATAAACGAAAATAAGAATAAAGTGGGAAAAAGAACAAGTACTTGATTTGATTTCACTGTCAAAACAATTTTTGACTTATTTTTCACACATCTTAATGAAAAGAGTACAAATCTATCAAATGAACACAACTTGAAAATAATAAACAAAATACGTAACAGGATGTTTCTTGCACAAAATCTATAAGTAATATATCAAGTACTAGACAGGATGTTCTTATTGATTATCCTTATGGTTGGGTATATGTATATCAACAAAAGTTCAACCTATACAGGAGTAAAATGGATAAAGTGGTAACATACAGAAGATTAGACCTAGTAAGTCAGTGAACAGCAGTTCTATGTACATTTGGTGTTCCCCTTGACTCTCCGCATAATATTTGAGTAGAATAGTACAAGAATACTTGTCATAGGAATACTGAAATAGTACTTATGTCCCAAAATAAATGCAACACTTGGACATAGTTCCCCTGAAATGTTTGACTATTAGTCAAATATCTAAATCACCCTTCAATTGTCACAAAACAGAAAAATCTTTTTTAGCAAAACAAAGGCTATTAATATTTGTAATGATTGCTAATGAGCATAGTGGTCATATTGAATTGAAACTTAACTAAAAGGAAAATATTATGGGCATCCCGACAAGGAAATTGTGGCATTGTTTTGGGAAAGAGGGAATGAAAAAATTGCAGTAAAGTGAACAATATTCAGGCCTCACATGAAGAATCGATTAGGCAGCAATAATCTACCAAAAATCATAAGGCAGTCAAGAAACAGTTGACATTTACCTCTGATGTTCTTTAGAACGTTCGATAAACTCTCTGGCTATATCATGTCCGTGATATGACGATAAAACAGGTCGAATATCAGCAGGCCTATGCCGTGCAACATCTGCAGTTAGAAGGTAGCGATAAATCCTAGCATCATGTTCAGCCGCTAAGCCAATATCATAGATATATAAACTGAATTTAAAGTTTAGGCTTACATTCAAGAAATGGTATAAGATCCACAAGTGCTGTGTCATCAGCTTCACATTTCCATGGTTTTACTGGTACACAGTTCTCCGGCTGAAGACAACTCTCAAGAGCATTACCACTCACATACAGAATCCTTGAGGGATCTCTGTTGAGCTTTGACAAGTCCTACAAGAAGGACATATTATGCCTTATCAGTTTTCGTGGGGACATCAAAACTTTTCCCATTCCCACAACTACTTCATGGGGACATCAAAACTTTTCCCACTGGTGATATAATGAAACATTCTATATAAATATATCATGTCAAAGGAACAGCCCCTAAATGTCACTTTAACATATAAATACATGTGAGCCGTGAACATTTCTATCGTCAACAACTTTTTACTGCTAAGCATGAGATAACATATAATGATGGTTATGCCTAGAAACAATAGAGAAGTCCAGTTCAAAAAGAGGCATACTCAATACATGCACCATGCAAGATAATATCAAATAAAATATTATATTCACAACATACTCTATAATGCTTGCCATCTTGATATCTAGTTGCAGCCCTTGATAGCCTATACCTTATGCAGTGCTTTCCATCCAATCTATCAACAATAGGATCAACATACTGCACATGCAAACAGAATCCTGAAATTGTCAAAAAATAACATTAAAGTAAGAGAGAGAAAGCGGATAAAGAATATACCATGGCCTGCTGATCAGAATACACTATGATTTCATAAAATTGAGCTAAGTGCTCCAAAAAGTCATCAACTCCTGGTCTTTTAAATGTTCTCCAACCTCGATCACGCTTTAAGCACCATACATGACAGAAAAGGAAAATGTCAACAAACAACCCCACCAAAATACAGCGTTCATCATCAAGTACAGCAAATAAGATTGAATAGCAAAATCAGTAATGAACTATGCTATATACCTTCCAATCAGAGTATAATAGAGTTTCGTTTAAGTCCAAAACCAAAGTGAACACGTGCTGCTCCTGTGGGTGCAAATCTGGAAGGAGCTTCTCTGACGAAGGTTCAGTAAAACCCTACAAATAACCAATACTTTAAGCAAATACCAAGAAAAAAGAATACAATGACACTCTTTGAATCTTATTGAAGAAAGGGGTTAACTTGACAATAGACAAGTTTGAAAGGAAAAATACGCACTCGAACATGTTCTTCTGTAGATGCACGCAGATCCAAATAAAGCTCGACTAACTTGGCAGGAACTGAAACACCGAAGTAGCAAAGCCACAAGCACAATGAGTAAATTTGCTAAAATTTTATTGAAGACAGAAAAGCTCAAATACAAAAAAGGGTGAACACAAGAACACACAATTGATCAGGTTAAATCAACTTATTTCTGTGTATTGAGCATGGACGCTTATGTTTGACACATTCTTGCACCAAAAACATAAAATTGCCAACCTTGTATGATAGCCATAGAAAATAAAATAGGACTACAATGCCCTCCATCCCTCCAATGTCCCCATGATTATAATAATGTCTTCAGTTCTGGTCGCTGCTTTCTTATCTCTTCTTTAATCTATCTACTTTGATCACATTCTCCACCCTTAGATCACTGCTCTGATTCAATAGGTCGTTTATTACTCATCCTACGCTCTTCAATGTTGCCACTGTGGTCCAAGACTCATTATTATCACATACACATATTTGTGCTAGGATGTGATACGCAAGGCTTCAGTGCTGAACTAGAACAAGGCAGACATTACAAAAAATAATGAACGAGCATTTGGAGGATGGACTCTAGGTTCGCCTAGGCTTCCACCCGTTCTTGTTTAGATTTGGTCTATCAACTAATACTGATCTGTAGGTATTAAATCCAAATTTAATTATAAAATATTTAGCTTTTAGTTAACTAGAGGTCCCTACCTATTTGTGTATTATGGAAGAATTATTGAAAATCAATCATAAGTTCCCGCAGGTCCCTACAGTTTACAAGCTTGAGCTCTGTATTTACATAGTATGTGAATGTTAGAAAAGCATTAGGGGAATCAAGGTAGAGTGAGTGGTATAAGATACAGCAACAACTATCTAAATGTCTTCCTTCTTGGTGTCATGTGACTGGCCATAGATAACATCATTTATAGTATAAAATGTAGTCCATCAAAATATATGTTGAATACGAACACAAAGCAAAAGGTTTGACATAATAAAATTACCAAAATGAATCCACAATTACAACACTCAAAGGCGTAAAGTGGTTATTTGGGGACCGTCTATAGGAAATGCCCATTCCCCGCTTTTTTTCAATATAGACTACAAAGAATTATCCATAAGAACCAGCTTTAATTCTTAAAATCATGAAGCAGAAAGGGTCAATAAATTGTGTTCCATGTGCAGGTGGTCCAACACAGTCAAGAATAGTGCATGTAGGAATTGCATCAGGAGAAAGCACTCAGAATGAACCTGTCATTGCAGCTGATTTTAGCATAGCTTGAAATTTCTGCATTTAAGGTAAGTACATATGTTAGACTTGACGTTTCATATTCCGAGATCATAACATGATAGCTAAAAATATGATCTATGAGTAAACAAATATGTGAAAGACAAGAGAGAAAAACTTTTGTATTTATCAAATATCTTAGAAATGGTTCAATCTAGTAAAGTATAAATGCAAAAACAATTTAATCATGCAGCTTCAGACTTCACATGCAGCTTGAGTAGTTCTCAGTGGAATATCTCCTGCATGTGCACATGGGTGAAATCCTTTATGTCCCTATAGAACATAAAATTCACTGTTTGCATCTCCTCATTTCGATTTTACGATGTTCCGGTTTAGATTTCCACCTCTCCATAACCATCACATTCTATCTAAATATGCTATACATCAAACCACATAATAACTTGGTGTGTTATTGATTGTTTGTCATTTTATCTCTTACTTCTACAATTATGAGATCAGTCAAAGAGCAAAGGGAGAAACTTCATTTGCATTGTCTTACAATTTTAGCAAGGTGCAACCATGCAATGATACCTATATTGGCATAAGAGCACCAAGTTCTTAAACAAAAGACACTAGTTAATGGTTTAGTACACGTTCATGGAGGCAAAATTACTACCACATCACGACTACTTTTTCTTAGTGGTTATGATAGTGCTAGGCTCCTCAAGCTCAAGTAACAAGGAATCTACAGGTCAAGCTTAATCTTTAGAAACAAATTGATCCATCTATCATTCCAATGCCATTTTGGCAGTACCTAGCAAACTCACACAGAGTTGCTCTATAAAGTCATCTTTCATCACATGTTAGACCACATGGTTTAACTGTATTGAAGATGATCCCTATTCAGAAAAAAGTAAATGTCTTGTGCATTTATGAGGCAGAAGGAAACTACAAAATATGGCATGCCTTGGCAAATACATGACTATTGCCTAGATCCCAGGGCCACACAACACACTCCTATATATATGGGGGTGATAAGACAGTACTAAGCCTTGATGGATTCACAGCACAGACATTATACTACACAAGTCTAACAGAATAATAGATTCATTTTAAAAACATTCTGCAGCTTAACTTAAACCTTTACAAACACAAACTATTACAGACTACTTATTGACTTATGATTCTATAAAGGAACCTCGAAAAAAGATCCCATAGGACAAACTTAACATCCTTGGGTCAGTACGCAAATCCTATGTGAGGTAGACATCGACTGTAGAACGAAGACCTAATGATGAGTTGTTAACTCATGTTTCAAATTTATGCTTGAGCAGGGCATGATTTCAAGTGTACAAACATTCCGATTTTCTCATCCTCGCCATACAGATTCTTCTTTACTTGATATGAAATTATTTTTAAGGGAACACCAACTATACAAAGCCATGTACTCTATAAACAAGTTCGTATTAGGAACATAATGTGAGTAAACACAAATGTATTTATACGACTGCAGGCTAAATTTTGAGCCTTCTCCCATCTAATAAAGCTAGATGCTAAACTACCAGGGCCGGCCCAAGTATTGGGCGAAGAAGGCGGCAGCCCAGGGCAGCAAAGCCCAAAAGGCATCACAGCCCAACACTCAAACAGGGTTTAGCCGTTTAGTAGACTCATTTTTTTTATTTTTTTTCAAAAAAAAAAAGTTACTGCTCCCGGCCTCTCGCTCTCACAGCTGCCCTCCCGATCCACGACCAGTAGCCTTCTGCCCCTCACTCAAGGCACACAACCCGTTGCTCTCACCTATGCTCTCGGCTCTCACTCTTGTTATCAAATCTCAATTAGTTTTCTTGAGGCTTGAACCAAGGTCTTATCTTTCTTTTTTTCTTATTTACTTATCTAGTTATCTGATTTGTTTATTTTTCTTCAATCTTGTTGTTTTCTTTCTTAGTTCCTTGATGTTTATTTGCTTTATCTTGATGATTTACCTATTTGAGTGATTTCCTTAAGTTTATTTCACTCATTGAAGTGATTTTCTTATTTGGTTAAATCTCAATATCTCATGCCGTAACTATTTTGTGTCTTGATATTGCCTTTACATTATGTGTGGTTTGGATTATTATTTACAGGGTCGTTGTATACTTGTTTCTGTACCCATACTCTGCTTTGTTGTAGTGGTTTGTTCATATTTGGTTATTTGTGGTGCACATTTTCCCCTACATAAATCAGTGAACCCAAAAATAAATGGGTGATGTATGTATTTTTTATGTCTTTGTTGGTTTGTTTTAGCACTGTCTCTATTGTAAAAGGTAGGTAAATGAGGCTAATATTTTGGTTACTTCTAAAGACCCAGCTCATAACAAACTAGAGTGGACAAAAAAAGGGAAAATACAATGGTTCGCAAAGCCCACAGTGGTGTTACTAGTCAACAATGAAAGGAGCGGTTGTCATGATATGTTCCGTGACTCAGCTGTTAGAGAGCTACTCATAGTCATTATATATAAAATCATGTTGCTGCAGTATGCAAATGATTCTGCGGCCTAGATCAAATCTCAATATTCCCTTTTGCCTTGGATTGACTCTCCTCCAAAATAGGTAGCATCCCTCTAAAATCTGTAGAGAGCCTAGCTCATAGAAACCAAGTTGTTGAAGTCACAATTACAGACCACATGAGCCAAGAGAGGCCAAAAGGGTTAGCAATTTTGAGTATCGACCATGATAGATTAATTGAAGATTTTGCTTCATGAAATGCACGAAGACGTCGTTTTAGGTGATCTTATCTTTGTTTTGTTGTTCGGGGTTTTGGTTTATGTCCCCCTGTTGTAACTGTCTTTTTTAATAAAAATCAGTGTGACTTGACTAGATTTCAAATCCCATAAAAAAATTCTGATTCTTGAATTAGGGGAATTTTTTTGAATTTCCGCCCAGGGCATCCAAAACCATAGGACCGACCCTGTAAACTACTTACACAAAAATTCTGTAACCCTGCAGCATTTTCTTCATGTTCTCTAGTCCAAACGTGCTCATTGCCTACTGAAGACAAAACACAAGAGATACGAAAAATGAGGTAACTGTCTACAAAACCTAGACCAATGGATTAAATTTCTTGATGTTGTCTGCTACATACAATCAGAAGCAGGTTCATCATCATGTAACTAAACAAAACAGTTACTGCACAAATCTCAGTAGCGCCATCGAACACGTAAAAATGAGGAAAAAGCACCGAGTCATACTCACATCAAAAGAAGACATATCATCGCCTATAGAAACTTTTGCTGATGCACGCAAATCCCTTGTCTTCTCATCAACATCTTCTAAAGTGTATGCTGCAAAATGAGAAATATCTGGATGTGTTGATGACACAAGGAGAAGGAAAAGAAGACAAACAATGTCTTACTTACTACTCGTACCAAGTGTGTTAATTATGTCAACATTCAAATCAACCTTTATTCCAAACAAGAAATCAATAGGATGGCAAACTTATGTCAGATAAGTGTTGTTATAAAGGGACCTGGAACTAAATCCAAAATACTACATAGAAGTCAGACATGTCATCAGTTATCAGGTGTTTCAAAGTCTTGCGGCTAATATTGATGCCTGAGTCTTATATATTCTTTTCTTCCCATTTGGAGTCAAAAAGATGATACTAAGAAGTTTTAAGCAATATGACTAATCATTTAAAATTTTAACAAAAAACACAGGGTAGCTTCTGGGATTCAATGTGTAGGAGGACAACACGTACCCAGGGTTGCAACACCAGCGGTGACAACACCTCCAGTAAGTGCTGCAATTAATGTATACTTGAGGAAACTCCATGGTTGCCCACCTCCTCCGCCCGCTGGTGCACTTTTTGGAGGCGTAGGTGGTGGAGGCGGAGGTGGAATTGAAGATGTAGACTGATCACTGAGGATAGACGAAGAGATGATAGGTTCTTTGGAAGCATTTGCAGTAACACTTGAATTGAAGCGACAATTCTTGTTGCTTTTCAGAACAATGGAGAAAATGCGTCTAGATCTAGTAACCATCGACATTGCTTTCTATAACAAAAATTCTTCGGTTCTCAGCGTCAATGCTCCTTCCTAACCGTTAAAAAAACCATGAATTATTGAGAATCATATATCATTAAAATTACAAACTTCAAAGAAATACTGGAATCTACATATGACGCTTTGTTTAATCTTAATGCCTGTCAATGTCACAAAATACTTGGACTAACTGTTCGGTACAACTAGAAGTAATCAGTTTTCTGATGCCTTGCATTGTTCTAAACGACTGTAACCTACTCTATGAGAGCCGCTACAAATAAATAAATAAAAATTGCAAATCATAAGCTATAAACAAAGGTCCTATGACACATACAGTACAGTTATTCTTTATTTATAGCTATTTCCATTTCTCTAACAAATTGTATCATACCACCCAAACACTGCCATTGCAATTTACAGTTCACAAGAAGACTTTGCAGGTCTATTTCCGGAACCATGACGCAACGTTAAATCTCAAAAAAAACACACGGAATCTTCCCACAAGCTGCATATTTTAAGCGTCGATAAACCTACATGTTCAAAGATCATAGCAAATATGAATTTTAACATCACAGCAGTATTTCGATTTTACTGCTGTCGCAGTATGCATCAACCTATCGTAGGATACATGCATTACATCAATTACGACCACATCTTTCAGAAACTAGTTATTTCCTAAAACCCTAGATCAAAGTAAAACCTCGGACGAATTAAAAAAAGGAACACATTTCATCCGCGACTGGTAAGAAAAGATAATACCTGTGTGTATGGAGAGGCGTTCAGCAGCCAACTGACATAGGGCTTGCGCGTGAGAGCGGTGGCGGTAATTGCGAGCAGAGCGCCGGCGGCTTGTTATAGAAAAGCTTGATACGTCTTCTATGGAGGAGTGTGGCGTTAAGCCAAAACCTGTTGATTCAACCCGAAAACCCACAGGAGCTCCGTTTAGCAATTTGCTATTTGGCCCAAGAGGCAAGAGATGATTTACCAATTTACCCCATACAGCCCATCAAGGCGTGTAGCCCAAATAAACAAACCATCGGGCCAGTGTAGTCCTTTCACCTTGCCCTTGTACTTGTAGGTTTGTAGACTTGTAGTTATAATTTGTAAAGCTAAACTACGAATGTTCAAAAAGTTATCTGATTCAATTAGAAATTTAGAACTGATCATCATTGAATATTTAATTATAATTAGATTGGACCGAATTAGAAATTACAATATTCAAATTGGATCTGTCGGTTCTTCATTTACGATCCAAAATCTAATAAGACCAATCCAATCCAATTAATAAACATATATACTAAATTGTTATAGGAAAAAGGAAATAGAACAGCAAAAAATAAAAATCAGTAATATGGTGTTCTTATTAACTATATGCCTTTTAAATAAGGATGAGTTACAAGCCAATAACCATGAGATATGTCAATTATAATCTACCTCTAATATGTTTATCTCTATTTATATTGTCATATCAATTTGATGATGACATACTTATCCTTCTTGTTAAAATAATAGTCCCCCTTGTGACGAGTCTAATGAAGTGATGGTGCACGATTGATTCCTCGTTAAAAATTTGCGCCAAAAACAAAAACCCGGTGGGAAAAATAGAAATGGAACAAAAGAAATAGTACAATGCACCGGTTTCTTTACAATATATATATATATATATATATAGAGAGAGAGAGAGAGAGAGAGAGAGAGACTCTTCCTTTAGTCTAGTATTCCCTCAGATTCATACATCAATCATGGGAATTGAGAAAACAACATGGTATATAAATTGTTGTCTCACAAAAACCTTATACCAATGAACAAAACCCAATGAGAAAAATAAAACCTTGGGTGAAGAAAAAAACACAACATATCAATATTACATGTATAGTAAACTCATCGTTTGTCTACTACTCCCCCTTATGTGTGCATTAATCAAACGAGATTGAAAGTTCTTTGCATTCCAATACTTTCTACATGTTCCCCAAATATGGTTTTAAGTAATGATTTGGTAAACAAATGTGTCACGTTCTCCTTTCATATTGCTTGATTCACTTGAAGCTTGAGGAGAGTTTGTTATTGTCGATTGTATAAAAATCTAAGCAAAATATGCTTTGTTTATCACCGTTAATGTATCTTACTTTCATTTTCTCAATATGATGTTTATTTCCAGATATTAGGTAGGATAGTGGTTGAACTCAAATCACTGGCTCCTCTAATATGTGTAATGATATTTCTTAATCATATACACTCTTCAAATCACTAGCTACAAGGGTTTGTTTAGTTCCACAATTCTAGTGTGTTCATAATAGTAATTTCATATCCAATTTGGGAATGACCTTTTCATGGGTCAGGTAAATACCTGATATCATCAAAGACATATCAAGACACTGCTCGGTGTTTTTCTATAAAAGTTGGTACTTTGGCCTCTCACGTTCTTATAAGTATTAAAGTTCCATTATCAATCTCATTTTTCACTTTGTATCTAAAGTATAAGCCACATCAATGGTTTCAAGAGATTAATTTGATATCCTTCCAAATGAAGTTGCATTGGTGTTGAGTTAAATCTAGCTGACAAGTTCATTGAGAAATATAATATGTAACATCCGGATTTTGTTATCATCGTCTTCAAGAGTATGAGGAATGATTTTGTATACATGGGAGAAGATTGTTTTAAAAAATTATAAGTTTTGGAACCCAAATTTATAAATGGTAACATTTTTTATATTTTTGGTATAATTGGGGATTTTACTCATTTAATGACTATTTATACATAATATTTATGTATTGAATATGGTTGACATATCTAGAAGGTTCAATACATTAGAATATAATGCAACAGATTCATAGGAATAGAAGTTGGTTTTATTTTATATGAATGAGATGTTATTCCTTAACTGTAACTTGAAATAGACATGCGATCTTCATGTGCAATATGGTGTAGACTCTTGGAGTCAGGCATCGAAAATTGACCAATACAATATAATTTCTAAGTGAACGCGCTTAATTCTGAAGTATAAAATCAATCCCACTAAATCAGAGTTCAGACTTCTAAGTCTGAAAAAGAAAACTTCAAAGTTCGGGTGAGCTAAGTCTGGAAAAGAAAACTTCAGAATTCGAGTGATCTAAATCTAAAGAATGACTCTTCATATTTGTACTCTTGAGATAACTCTGAAGTAAAACCTTGAAAAATGACTTCAAACTTGTAGAAGACTCCGGAGTTCAGACTTCTAAGTCTAAAAAAAAAGTCTTTAGAGTTCAGACTTCCAAGTCTGAAAAAAAAAGACCCCGGTGTTCAGACTTCTTTGATTGAATAAGAAGACTTCAGAGTTTAGACTTCAGAGCTCGGGTTAGTTAAGTCTAAAAAAGAAAACTTCAAAATAAGATCCAGTTTCCTACTTCATGATCTTCTTATTTAATCTCTCAATTACTGTGAAAAATGACTTTTCAGACTTGTATTTAGAAATAAAATTATATCAATAACTAGTTAAAATGAAGTTAACCCTAGAATAAAATTGAATTTAGAATTGAAATTATATCAGTAAATTGAATTTAAATTTAGAAGTAAACACCATTTTTTTTCAGGAATCAGTTATCACCTGAATTAATTAACCCAATAATTAAATCAGTTGCATCTTAAATTAGTGAGATTGATTGAATAAGGTGACGCATGACAATCAGATAAGTATAATAGAATTGCTAATGTAAATTGTGTCTAGATACGTTCAAATGAGTCTAATTGAACTGTTAATGTAAATTGTTTATAGATACGTGTTTAGGCGGGAAAACAGTAAAATCGGCTCACCATAAGATGACATGAGTCATACCAATTACTTAATTTATTATAAGTATATATATACTATATTATAAAGCATTTGACAAAAACTCTTAAAAATCATCTTTTATACATGAAGTACTGCTTATTGATGCATATTACTTAAAATTTAAGATTACAAGTAAATTATGCGTAAATACATCTTATTAAGCTCCATGTTTGAATTCATGTAATTAACTGCAGATAAATATAATCAAATACAAAATAAAATTCTTGTTTTTAATCTAAAATCTAAAATATAATTAGGGTAAAAAAATCAAATTATAATAAAAAAATTGAATTAAAGAAATTACACAAAAAAAATGATAACTTATATATATATATATATATATATATATATATATATATATTTCAATTTATTTTTTTGGTATCTGTCGATGTTATAATACGAACTCATATGGTTTTGAGCATATATATATATATATATATATATATTAATTTTTATGATATCTTTAAATTTATATTCTATTCAGAAAAACATTATTGTTTGCTCAAAACTATATGAGTTCGTATTATAACATCGACAGATACCAAAAAAATAAAATGAAACATTGAAATCGAGATATATCTCGCTGCATTGTCGAGTATCCTTCTATTGTCTGTGTATGCGTGTATATATATCTATATACATACATAACACGTTCGGACGAGAATGTTAACTATTTAGAAAAACAAAAAAAAAATCGTTAATATACAAAATCACATATGATTATTAGCCATCTTTAAAAAACCTCAGACGCCGACTCCTCCCTTTCAATGGTCGTTTTCACTGAACAACTCGATAATTATCTGAAATTAATTCGTGGGATGAGAGTGTGTTTTTGATACAAAGTAAACAGAACTTTATAAAACCTCAAAAACTCCTTCCACAATTACAACGCCACGTTCCCCTAAATCGGTTGTTGGATTGGAATTGAAGGCAACAACATGTTACCATATGTACTATCATTTACCATATTACCATACATTATAAGCGAGAATTATATAATTAAGGGGTCGTTTACTTAAATACTTACCTGGTAAGTATTTACCATTAAGAGTGAACATTATAATTTATTTTATCGGATACGATTTTGTAATATATATCAAAACGTATCTTATGCAACAATTTACCTGGTAAGTGTTTACCCGGGTAAGAGTCGTCACCCTCACTTACCGGATAAGACTCTCCATTCTTATCATCGTTTTTTCGGGTAAGATTCTTGTCCCTTGTCATTTTCATCCGGTAAGGAAAACTGCCCAGTAAGTACTTACCGGGTAAACGTTTAGTAAACGACCACTTAGATAACTTTGAAAACTAGTGTATCATATACTTTTAATATGACTTTTTATATTTAAGACTACGATTTAGAATATTGATTAACATATTTAATATATCTTGAACCTAACTTCTATTGTGAACAGTCGAAGACAAATGAGAGGGTGACACATGTTCCCATTCATCATAACAATGAAAGTGATTTTTTACGACATTCATGATTAATATTTGCTTGTCCCATACATATATAATCTTAAAAAGCATTAAAATAATTTTTTTAATTATTAAAATTAAAAAAATATATATATAACATATATAAAGTTTCAATGTATTAGTTATTATTGTTTACTGAAAAATCACGATTCGAAACATGTTTCATATAGATGGAGTAACAAAATGTTGAGTGAATTTTTTTTCCCCATTTTGTTGTTGTTTTTCAATAGATTTAGGGGCCGTTTACCAAATACTTACCCGATAAATGCTTACCGGTAAAATTTAATACTATTATTTACTTACCGGGTAAGATTTTAGTTCATCAAAACGACATCGTATGCAACAATTTACCCGGTAAGTGCTTACCATGGTAAGAGTCATCGCCCTCACTTACCGGTTAAAATTCTTGGTCCTTGTCATATTCATCTGGTGAGGTAATGTTACTTAGTAAGCGCTTACCCGGGTAAGCGTTTGGTAAACAACCCCTTATTATATAGTGTAGAAAGATTAGTTAAATTGTGGAAAGCGTTGGCATAATTTAGAGCATCGATAATGGTGTATATTGTTTTGAGGG